ATGGTCAATTTTGAGTTCTTGTCTTTCATTTTTACTTATGTACTTTGTCTATATGCCATTTTGTACTTCTTTGTTGAAACAGTTATTTGTTCTTGTAGTGATTAAGATTACTGATATATTACAATGTTGACTGATGTACCCCGATTTTTGACGTTTTTACCTATTATGTCTGTTTGTTTTGCTCACACATTGTTGTCAATATAATGGAATTCTATTCGACTGTCATACATGTGAGAGGTTTAGCTAGCTATAAAACGAGGTTTAATCCACCATTTTCTACATAAGGAAATGCCTGTATCAAGTTAGGAATATGACAGTTTTTTCCATTCGTTTGATGTGTTTGAGCTTTTGATTTTGCCATTTTATAAAGGACTTTCCGTTTTGAATTTCCCTTGGAAATCGGTATTTTTGTTATTTTACTTTATACAAGAACGAAGTGGTACTCATTTTCAACACAGTTCATATTGCAGCATTCACATAGACGCATATTTCTAGGAATATTTTTAAATCGACCTAATTCCAAGTTCAATTTCAATGTACAACTTCTCAATTTTGTAAGTAAATTACTATTAATAAAAAAAACCCAAATAATTCTCAATTAAAAAGTATGTTTTGAGGTGTTTATAAATACACAGTTGTTCACTTATTTTTTGTTTATGTGTAGTTTCATAGTATCGGAATACCAGGAATTAAATGTTTTTTTGAAAAATTAACATTTTGACATGATTTGGATTTAGCATGATGTAATAGTATTTATGTATAATCATAATAATTAGAATTACTATATAGTGTTGTATCTTCCATTTTGTCAGATAATTTTGCTCTTCAAATAATTTTATCCGTATTATCTAAGTTACACTATGCTTAAGTTGTGTATATGATTTGAACACCAATCTATGAAATGTATGAACAAAACCCCGCAATTAAGAATTTGAAAGTATTACAGAAATCAAAAACCCATGATATATCAACAATAAAAACAGAACATAATTTAGAAAAAAACTTGTTTCGAGTAAGTGTTCCATTTTAAGAAAAGGGGTGTATTTTTTTATTGTAGGTGCTTGTTTACTGAAAATACAAGTGAACAACCATACATTTTTTACCCAAATTTTGAAATGGAGCAACTTAATTTCAACAGACGTGATTCCAATTTTGGTAAAGTTCAATCTTCTTTAGGGACACTTTATAATCTGCAGACATTAATCATATCTTGTTTAATTGATTATACTGATATTATTGTGTTCCATTGCTTAGTCCCCTTTGTGTATACTTACACATGAGGACATCACAATTGTGTTTCATTAAGATACTGAAAAACAAGAGAAAAGTGTGTTAGGTCAATGTTTTTCAAATCTTTTTTTCGTATTTCCTGTCTATTTGTATTACATTATTAACGTTTTTAAAATTGGCATAAAATTCTGAATTCTAATCAGAACTTGACAATGATATATTGTGTGCCTTGTTATCAAGTAAATGTAACCAAACTGGCAATTGTTTAGAATATGTGCCTAGTGTTGTTGCTTTAAAAGCAGCAAAACAAACCACTAATGAAAACAATAAAAGTTTACAGTAGAATATTGTTTTTTATATTAACAAATTTATATAGTGTGAAAAAGTCTGCATCTAACTCGCGCGTTTTCACACGCTTTTTGACATGTCATGTCATGTCATGACATGATTTCTCATTTTCGGAGGTTGGCAAGTATGCCATAAATATGTCTTTGTTTTCTAGCAATGTGCAGTTTACTATCCATATCCGTATACTGAAAAATCCTGTACAAATAGACAGGAAATACGAAAAACATTTGAAAAACATTGATAAACAAAATTTTAATCTGCTAACCGAGTCCCTGTGGTTGCTCACTGTCACGTACATCTTATATATGAAAGCATACTTAAGAAAACATCGTGCTTTTTTTTAGGTTATAAATATTTATACTTAGTAGAATAATCCAAAGACAACAAAAAATGAAAAAAGGGAGATATCCAAATCAGTTATTTTCGATTAAATATTAATTTAAACTGGGATCTTTATCTCGGAAAAGAGCATGGGGAGTGCGACCTTTTCATGGTTAAAGTCGAGACCAGAGAGAGACATATATATGTATCTGGTAAAAGAACATAGTACCCTAGTAGATATCAAATATTTTTTACAATAAGTATGCCTACACATAGCTATCATGGTTATGATATTTCATGATGGGGGAATAAATTGTTTGACAAACATGTAAAGCATTTACAACCATGGTTTTAATTGCATCTGTAAAAAAATATCGACATCTGATCAGTTTCAGATTAAATCTTCAACCTTGTCTTATATCACCTAAATTTCTCGACCCCATCAAATATCATGAAGCTTAAATAAAGACCCATTATACCTCTCAATACAAATGATAAGTATGATAAATGCACGCCCCGATCTTTAGGACAAGATTTGGGCTGGGTTGAACGTTGTCTAGCTCTTCCTATCTTAATTGCAGACGATGAAGAACAGAAGACCCAAGACAATCCAAAGGGGAATAAAAGAAGAATAAAAAACTACTCTCAGACGATGAAAGCAATTATACATTTACATGTATACTATCATATTTCAGCAGTGCTTAATTTCTATGAATGATTTTAAAGGAGATATGAAGTATACGTAATTAATTTAGACAGCAACCCAATTAAACAACAAACAAAACAATTTACTTCTAAAATTCAACCTACGGTCTTCTACAATGGACATGTCATTACAATATTTTAAGTTTTTAATCCTCCCAAGTTATGAAAAAAAATATCTGCATAGCAAAAACTTAATATTACTTAAAACAATGAGCAGGGTCAAGAACAAATTTCTAGTAATTGTTTTGATGTTTATTGAACATTTATACTATATATATATATATATATATATATGCTATATGAGAGAAAGAGAAATAAAAGAAATTTATAAATTTCAAGTTCGAAAATACTGTTTTAAAAGAACGGTCTCTCACAAAAGATTATGTCAATCCAGTATGTTAAGCTTTGAAGGATTAGTACGATAAGGACCTTATTTGACACCCAATATTAAACGATATACTGCTTAATAACGTGTTTGGTAAAATTTGTTGATTTATATGCAAGGCTATTCTAAATGAATTAATCTACAAAGCGAGAACACTGTCCACTTTCATCAGCTAAGAGACGGCTAACTTTTTTTAGAAAAGCTATTACTTGTTTTCATTTATAATCAAATCATTTGAACGAATAATTTTATCGCTACATTAAATGTCATTTGATTCTTTAGACCATGTTTCGAGATACTGTTACAGTCAATAAACCGGTACTGTTTTAGATAGCACAGAAAAAAAATTTTGTTATGACACTGCAAGTATTTAACTGCATCACAAACTAAATGGTGTTTTCATTGACAGAATTATCAAACTGATATCTACTATAACGAAATTTCCTATGAAAGAGATTCCAGGAAATGCATTATAAAAAATTCTTTAATAGAAATATAGACATTGATTTCAACTATATTACATAAGAACTACACCGTTGAATATCAATAGCAGTTTAATTACATTTTTCACCAATATTCTCGTTACATAACCAGACAGAATTATAAATTAAAATGTTAATAAAGAATCACTGACTGCAATCAGGAACATTATAAACAAACAGCTCAATATTTTTCAATAATTTTAACGGCGAAATGTAAAATGATCACAATGACATTTTTATTACCGCAACAAAGTGGAAATAACAGTATACAGATATTCCATTTTTCACAAGTCTCGTTTACCCAATGAGGTTACATTGGACGATCATATAACTTCTTAACAACTTACAAATATGCAACTTAATCATGCGGTTGCATACAATTTGCGACAATTACATTAAAAAAAAAATTGTAAAAATGTGATCGTAAAATCAATAAACCATGCCATGTCTCATGTCAGCCTGTCTGGGTATATATATGCCTTTGTTGCACTAAGCAAGAAAGATTGAATTTTCGTATTAAACCAAATAAGTATACGACGAAACATCGAAATGGTAAAAAACAGCAAGGATAATGGTGCACATTTCAACCTCTTATTCATTAAAATGTATAAAGAATCGGTTCCAGTTTTTCTTTTTTGAAACATGTAAGCAATAGACCTGGAATTCCATTGGTAATGTATATCTGCGAGGAATAGGAACCCTGTAACGTGTCTCTGAATTATGAATGTCATATTTGATTTGAAGTGACAATAAACATTGCATAGATATTTAAAACATAATTTTAAAATGAAAACTATAGATTTGATTGTTGGTTTTCCACATGAAAACTACATATTTCATTGCAGGTTTTCAAGACGAAAACTACAGATTTAATTGCAGTTTTTCAAGATGAAAACTACAGATTTCATTGCAGGTATTCAATATTCACACTCAGAAAACACCCCTCCTACATGCTCAATTCATCAAATTATAACTAAATTTGGTGGATTTCTTAAAATGTATGATTGTTTACATTTTCTTTCATCTTATCGTTTTAAATGTGAGGAAAGATACTGAAGATGAGACATATATGGAAGAGATGTGACTTATACGTTGTTGAGACAGCAACTAACTTTCGGACTTCTAGAGGCAAACAAACAGTCTCCAATAATAGACAGGAACTAACCTACGGACTTCAAGAGGCCAACAAACAGTCTCAAACAATAGACAGGAACTAAATTACGGACTTTTAGAGGCCAACAAACAGTCTTAAACAATAGACAGGAATCAATACAATATATCAACCTCAAAATTGTTCCGAATCTACAAAATCTTTGAACGAATTTAATAAAGACTATCAACGATCTGCCATCAACAGAATATTCTCAAAATCACACAATTGTTTAGTCCGTCCAACTTTTGTTTGTCTATTTCATGCTTTGGAGACGATCTCTCACATGTGAATTAGACCATAGAAGTTCAATTCATGATATTGTGTAATCAGAAATATACCTAGCAGTAGGTTTAGTTGGTTGATTAAATAAACTAAAAACATTTTCATATTTTACTTTATTACAAGAAGATATTTCACAAAACTATCAAGCTACATACAAATTCAAAACGACGAACGGTTACATCTGCACGTAATTACACAAAGCATACTAGTAAATAAATAAATTAAAAAAAAAACATTAGTTCATACAAACCAACACAAACAAATACTTTACATACACCACAGTCAAATCTAACAAAACATCACACAATGCACTTTCAGTACATCAGTACATTAAACAAAATTAATAGTTCATTACTATAGTACATCATCCGAAGCACCTTGTAATACAACGGTGCATCACCTAAAGAACCATTCAATTAAACAGAACATATAAAAAGCAACGCTCAATATAGAAATACATCAAACAAAGCACCGTATATACTACAGTACTTCACACAAAGCAACGTTCAATTCAGCAGTACTTCACACAAAGCACCATTCATACAGCAGTAGTTCATACAAAGCACCATTCTCACAGCAGTAGTTCACACAAAGCACCATTCATACAGCAGTACTTCACACAAAGCACCATTCATACAGCAGTAGTTCACACAAAATACCATTATCACAGCAGTAGTTCACACAAAGCACCATTCATACAGCAGTAGTTCACACAAAGCACCATTCAATACAGCAGTAGTTCACACAAAGCACCATGCATACAGCAGTAGTTCACACAAAGCACCATTATCACAGCAGTAGTTCACACAAAGCACCATTCATACAGCAGTAGTTCACACAAAGCACCATTCATACAGCAGTTTTTCACACAAAGAACCATTTATACAGCAGTAGTTCACACAAAGCACAGTTAAATACATCAGAACTGCAAAAACAGCACCGTTCAATACAGCAGTACTTCACGCAAAGAACTGCTAAATATTTCAGTACATCACTCACAGCACCGTTCAATACGGCAGTACATCACAAAAATCAATGTTCAATACAGCAGTTCTTCACGCAAAGAACTGCTAAATATATCAGTACATCACTCACAGCACCGTTCAATACGGCAGTACATCACACAAAACAATGTTCAATACAGCAGTACTTCACGCAAAGCATTGTTCAATACAGTAGTACTTCACACAAAACCCAATTCAACATGTCAGTACATCACACTAAATATCGTTCTATACATCAGTGCATCACTCACATCACCGTTCAATACATCAGTATATCACTCACAGCACCGTTCAATACATCACTCACAGCACCATTCAACACATCAGTACATCACTCAGAGCCGTGACCGTTCAACGACATCAGTACATCGCTCACAGCCGTGACCGTTTAACACATCAGTACATCGTTCACAGCCGTGACCGTTCAATACGGCAGTAGTTCACGCAAAACATCATTCAACACATCAGTACATCACTTACAACACCGTTCAATACGGCAGTACACCACATAAAGCATAGTTCAGTTTCGCATCGAAACAGTATCTTATAAGCACATAGATCATTACAAACAGTTCACAAAAGTACATAATATCCTCATATAACACAATGTTAAACAGTTCTAGTAGACTAAGTGAAGTGATAGTGTCCATAAACAGTTTCTTATAAAAAATTCAATCTACCATCATACCTCATGGCTAAAAATGTGTTAAGAGTGGTTTACCCTTGGGACCTATAGTTTTCTATGGTGTCAGCTTTTCTTGAGGTTTATGGTAAGACACTAACATAATGTACATGTTATGATTGAACAAGGTTTGTACAACAACAGAAACAGTTTTATTTCAGTATTCTGACGTCAAATAATAGTAAATGTACAAAGTTGTATTTTGCCTTTATAATTGGTGTTTACAGACTTTTCATTGTAAACGATTCTAATCCATAATTCGATTGACTAGTCTTTGCTTACCGTCCAGGGACAAATATTTCAAGCATATTAAATTAATAATAAATCCAAAAGGTAGGTTTTGCAACGTATCTGGTATGAATTGCGGGAAATTTTAATAAAGTAGATAACGATTGTTATATTCGATAGGACAAGAATGAATTTTGAACCTCAATGGTTCTTGAACGTGCAGAGAGTAAAACTCTCTAAATAGGTATTGAATGTAACGTTCCTTTCCTACTTGACTTGGTTGAGTATTTATTATACAAGACTAAAATTTTGCGCTCTGATTTTAGGCCCCAAAACACGTCTAGTTCTTGGATAAAACTAACCCATACGGTTTATTCTGATATAACATTAAGATAACATCAAGATGACTGTGTGATTTATGTTTTTTAGTGCTAGATTAAGAACTGCAGCCATGCACGCTAGATGTTGAATCGTTGACTATTATAGTTTCCTGGAGATTATGCTTTGTGCATATCAAAACACTAAAGAAGTTTTGAGTCTATTGAAACTTGAGTTATGTATTCAATGTTGAAAAGATATAGCTATACACACATTTTTCTAGGTTAAAAGTAAAACACTTGAAATAGTATAGTTATTTTCGTTTCAAGAAATTTGAAAAATCATTCACTAATTGGACAGAAAAACGATGAAATTCTTTATATTTCACAAATATTTCAAATGTACTTCGATTTTGATTTATAATCTAATATATATTTGTAACTATTTTAAATGTACTTCGATTTTGATTTATATTCTAATATATATTTGTTACTATTTTAAATGTACTTCAGATTCAGTTTTAATTTTTAAAAGCGTAAACAAATATTTTCTGGTAATAGTTATTTTTTATTATCATTTCTTAAACATGTAATAAGTTTATTTAACAACTATTAACACTTTCAAAACAACGTGGGACTTTCATCTAACGTTCCCTGGATCAACCAGGATGTAACTTCTCATTCGATAAAACTCTAAAAAAAAAAAAAAAGTTACTCTCTAACAATGTCTATTTGTTTGAATGTCACAAACATAAAGTGCATGTTTTAAAAATGGAAAAAGTTAATGAGTTGAATTCAATATCGTGTTACAATTAAACACTATATCTATACTAGGTGTGTGACAAGAAACAAGGATAATAATAAACATATAAACCAAATTAAATAAAATAAGGATAAGTAAAACTTTTTTTTTTTAAACTAACACTTATATATCCTTTTTGGTTATACAGCTCTTAAACTATTCCGGCTCTTATACATCATTGGCTTTCAAATCTTCGGCTTTGAGCGTTCCTGATGAAGCTAAATTCAGAAAAGCGATTTGGACGCATGCAATTTATTAAGTTTTGTTTCAGTTTTTATGTGTACAGTTAGTTGAACGTTTGACTCTAGTTGATATTAAAATCATATTCTCCGGACTTTCAGCCCCAATGACAGTTTTGTGAAGGACATTGTTGTTTGAAGTGGATATAAAGTATTAATTGATTTGTTTCATCTATATAATCAAAATATAAGAAGCCATTATATGTAGTTTTCATATCCTGTAAGTAGTGTTCTAAATTTTTTTGTGAATTCTTGACAATTTAAGGAGAAATTGTTTCACTTTCTATAATATATTGCAAAACTTTCAAAGTCTGGATCTTATAATGTCTGTAATTTTAAATGAAAAGACTGTGTTTACTACTAAGTTAAAAATATATATTAAACCTTTAATATCCATTCTTTGTTAATATATACATGCAAAACTGTAATCCTTATATAAGGCTTAAAATTGTATAACAACTATTTTACTCAGGCAGCAGAAAATCTTCTTGACCACGTTTTATTGTGGAGCATATCAAAATAACAAGTTGCCTCTTAAATCACTATCCATTCCAATAAGCTTACTGATCATATCCTGTATGAACTTGGAGGATATTAACTTTGGGCCTGTTATGTTTGATCGAGCACGGAAGCAAGCCGATTTTTATATAATTTAAAATCCTTAAAATGCGCTACGAGTGTCTCATATTCTCTCCATGGATTTTTATTTCTTTTCTCGATTTCTGTTATTGAGAAACGGTTGTTGTGTTGTCCATGCTAATGGAAGAGTTTTCTTCTTATGAAAAAAGGCTTTCAAATATTGACGAAATCTATTGTCAGATAAACCATAAATAAATGGATTTGCAATATTATTAATGAAAATGGTCCAAAAGAAAGTCCAAAATACGGCACCTTGAATAAATGTCATTCTACATTCTAGATTTTGAACCACGTGCAGCACAATTGCTAGTGTATGGTGTATAACGGAACTTAGCACATAAACGGTGGTGATTATAAAGAACGTTAAAGTCGTTTTCCTTGTTTGAATGCTTTTACTGACATATGATGCCGTTCCATCTCCATTTGAAAAATTCGAAGACGTTCTGCTGACATCCGAATTTCTGCTTCCGTTTGTATTAGACGAAACACGCCCATTTCCGGCTGAAGACTTTGCACGTCCTTTTGCATGTAATTGTGTAAAATATTTTGATTTATGTTGGACACGAATCATGATAATGAAATAAATAACAGCAAGAAGAACTGCAACAATCACTAGAACAGCTGTCAATATGATATACTGCCACCAAGTTATCTTCTGTGCTATGAAATTGTCTTCCTTGTAACACCGCGTAACGATTAAATGTGTATACGTAACCTCATATTTTGAGTTTCCGTATATAACAGGAACATGCCATGACATCGCCAAAGATGCAATGTTTACAATAATGCAATAAATTTTTGCCTTCTTTTCAGTTATTTGCATACATAATGGTTGACAAACATTTCTATATCTATCAAATGCAATTAAGATCAAAGTAAACGGCGATGCAAGACCAATGTAAAATCCAACAAAATGCCCAATTTTGCATAACGCTCCGCTTGGATAATTTTGAGAAAACAAAAGATAAGTCACTACAAACGGAAGCGTAAAACAACAGTTTACTGTATCTAAAAACGCCAAACACAAAACATAAACACGATAAGTTGATTTTTTGTATTTCAGGGTAAAAACTATGATCACCAATATATTGCCAAATAAACCAACTGCTATCATTAGGCCAACAAATATGACAGCGCCTATGTTTCTGGTGTTGACCTGACGGCTTAAATCGGCAGCTGTATAGGTTTGATTCGTATTCTCAATTTCCAACCAGTCAGTACAATTCAGACTAGAAAACTCCATTTGATTTGTAGTACTTTATTATCAATTATGACTGTTCGTAAATCACTTTTGTACAATTTTTTTACGGAAGTTTTATCTTTTTAAAACTGCATAACAATGAATACCGATCTCTGGACTTTTTATGATAATACAGCTGTAGATGTCAACATACAAATAATGGTACCGATGATTCATTGTGTATACGCATTATGCGGTCTGTTTAGTCGATTCACAGAATAGCGAAATCGTATCAGAGTTTCCTTTAAATCATGTTTTTATCTCCAGAAAATTTACTATACTCATACAGCTACATTATCTGTAAGATGTCATTTTCTTTCAATGACAAAGTTTATTTTACATTAGTTTATTTCCTCTGTGGCACTTTTTAATCATTCATGGCGTTTACTCTACATTGTTTTGCTTCCTTCGTAGTATATTTATTAGCGTTTCTATGTCCATCTGCATGTCATTTTTCACTTTACGACCAGGAAAAAAAATATCTGGAAAATATATAATTCTGATTGCTATTGATTCTATCACATGTCCAATATTTTTCAATACAGTGCGTTCAAACATGACATTGAAAACTTAAAGCAAGGATATTTGATGTGATTGCCAATGAGAAAACTATCCACAATAGACCAAAGGACGATAATGTAAACAAAAATAGGTAATCGTAGGGCCTTCAACAATGAAAAAAACTCGTACAGTGTAGTACCGAAGCTATAAAAGGCCATTTATCGGATCCAACTTGGGACAGTAACATTAAGAATGTGTCATGACTAATTATGTTTGTGAGCGCTCAACCCTCTAACATGAATGGGTTGTGTAACAGTGCAACATAAGAACAAACTGAGAAAAAAACAATTTGAAAAAGGATTGACTAATTAGATCCGGCCCGAAGCACAAAAACAAAAAACCTAACAAAAACACACAAAAACACTAAGTACAGAATCCGATCTAAAGTTAATTACAGACCAGCGAATGTTATTGTATTTTTGTGACTAGTTCTTACTACTAGTATGAATCAAATGAATTTATATTGCACGTATAGCTAATTGACAGATGTTCTATCTAGTTCAAATCAGTATCGATCAATCTGCTTTTCGGATCAGAGAAAGTTCTTCAATCTCAACATGTGGTCAAGAAAGCAAACTAAAATATAAACACACTATATATGGTATGACTGCCAACTTTGATGAGACAACTATTCACCAGATTTCAAAATGACGTGGATGTCAGCAACTATATAAGTCACCGAACTGCCTTAGACAATGGACAAAACCGATACCGTACAGTTATTTATAAACTTGGAACAATTCAAGGAGAAAACCAACGGCCTGATTTAAGAAAAAACAAATAAAAGAAAAACTAGTATGAAAGACAGCAACCAACGAATCACAGGACCCAGACATGGTATAAGCACACGAAGAACGCGGCGGGGCATAACATGCCCGTGAGCGCTAAATCCTCCCATATCCGGGTAGTTACACTGCAAGAGCACAACACAACATCAAACAAAACTCAAACAAAAGACGTACATTAACGATTTTAGAGTTCTATTATAAAAGTAACGGAAAGCTAGTTCAAAGCCAATAGGTTCTGACATCGTTATAAGATAGAAAAAAGTATTTTGAATGCGGTATAATTCTCAATATAGATTTTGATAACTTAGCTTACCTCATCATAAGGAAACAAATACATTACACGAGTAAAACAAAACAAAAATCGTTAAATCATCGAAAAATTAAGACAACAGATGTTTGAAAATACATATCAATGTTGCTACGTTTCGTAATCCGAACTATTTCATCATAGAAAAAAACTTACATAAAATCTTTACAGTTGTCGCTGATGGTTGTTTTTCGTTTATTGTTTAGTTCATAAACCAAGCCGTTGAATTGTTATAACATGTTTAACATTTTGTCATGTCGGACCCTTTTATATCTTATTACACGGTACGGACTTTACTCATTGATGAAGGCCGTATGTTGACCTATATTGTTTCTTACATTTACGTGATTTGGTCGCTTGTTGATAGATGTCTGATTGTCAATCATACCACATCTGATTTTGATATTTATCAACAGGTCAACTCCTAACTATCCTACTGCCTGTCGATACTTTTATTTTGGCATTGCACAAGTCATGTCTTCTTCTTTGACTGTCCATGACGTTAAAACACTAAATCCCTGGGATGTGTTTTAGTTGATTTTAGTCTCTGATGCATGATTTTTTATTATTAATTATTTTTGGCTTTTAACTAGCTTTCAGTAACTGCGAGTACTCTCAAATCGTACTTTCGTATTAATTTGATCTGTTGATACAATTTGTAATTTTTCTTTGTTATTTAATGTTTACTTATTCAGTGTTATATTTAGTTTCACTATTTTTAATATATTCCACCTTTGATAAGTGTATAGTATGACGATAAATTTTCACTTCTGTTCTCGTACTAGGAACAACAGAAATTATATATTTTCTAAAAATTATTTCCCTACTCCATGTATACCTTACAACAAAATTATTTTTTATTTACCTGTGTACGTTATTTTATTTGGCGGCATTTTGTCCTAGGTTATGGTTGTCTTTTTGATATTTTTTTTTACATATAACCCCCTTGTTTAATTAATTTTGTATTTATATTGTGTCATAGATCAAATTTATTCGTTCAGTGTATGTTCACTTGTTTTTATACGACCGCAAAAAATTTTGCGGTCGTATACTGGTATGACGTCGGCGTCGTCGTCGTCGTCGTCCGAAGACACATTGGTTTTCGCACAATAACTTTAGTTTAAGTGAATGGATCTCTCTGAAAAACCATAAGGTTAAATACCACAAAAGGAAGGTTGGGATTGATTAGGGGGTTATGCTACCAACAGTTAAGGAATAAGGGGCCAAAAAGGGGCAAAAAAACCCCACATTTTTCTAGTTTCCAGACAATAACTTGTGGAACGGTGTATGGATCTCTCTGAAATTATATCACAAGTTTCCATACCACAAAGGGATGGTTAGGATTTGCTTTTTTTTTTTGGGGGGGGGGGGGGGGGCTATGGCTCAAATCGTTTAGGAATTAGGGGCAAAAAAGGGGGAAAACAAGGGTGTCCTGGTTAATGGACAAATACTTTAGTACAAAACATAATTTAAAGCAGTGTTAGGGAGGTAATTCAAATACAACGTTTTGATTAAATCCCTTACACAGCTTTTAAATTATGTTTAAAGAAATGCATATTTTTAAAGGAAGACCAGTAAAAATATCTGCAAATGTTGCATTTTTTTTTTTACAAAAAAATCCATATGAAAGATTTGACACCATATTTTAAATTCTATTATTAAATAATTTAATTTTGGATGTAACGCGTCTTCTGATTGGCTGACGTTGTTTTGTTCATCAGATCATAGGCATAATTTTGTCATGTGACCGTGACGTCATCAACGTTTTTTCATGGTTTACTCCGGTTTAAAATGGAATTTAGAATTAAATTATAAGAAATGACTGTAATATTTTTTTCTGTCTATTCGAAATAACATAAAAAATGTGGTGCACACTTTAAAATATTCAGTGTGCACCACATTTTTGATGTTATTTCTTCATAGACAGAAAAAATATTACAGTTATTCCTTAAATAGATTAAGTTAGCACTATGGTAAATTTAAATGGGTAATTATGGTTGCAAACTCCATTGGAAATTTGAATTGAGATTATGACCGTATCTTGAGGGAAAGAATTTTTTTGGGGGAAAAAAGGGGTGGGAGTAAAAAGAAATTGTGGGGGGTCATTTTTTTCTCATTTCAGATTTCAGAAATTAAAAAGAAAAATTCTTCAAATATAATATTTTTTGCAAAAAAAAAGTGGGGGGGGGGGGGGGCAAATTTTTTATTTTTTTTGTGGGGGGGGAGGGGGTAAATTCGCAACAGCAAAGTATATTGCACAAAAACAAAAAAAACGGAATATAAATTCAAATCATATAACCAATTCTAAGTTCTTTGACTACAGTTATTCTGTGTCAAATACATTTTATGTGTCGAAATTTAATTACAATCCAAATTCAGACCTGTATCAAGCTTGAATATTGCGTCCATTTTTGTCCCAACTGTTCAGGGTTGGACCTCTGCGGTCGTATCCAGCTGCGCTGTTAATATGTCTTTTGATTGATTTAAGCCATTTCAATTGATATTTTATAGTGTGTCTTTCTATGTTGTGATGTTACACTATTGTTTCAGGTAGAGTGAAGGTTGGCGCCTATTAAAACGTTTAAACTCGCTGCATTTGTTTGCACCTGTCCTAAGTTGGGAACCTGATGTTCAGTGGTTGTCGTTTGTTGATGTGGTTCATAAGTGTTTCTCGTTTCTCGTTTTTATATAGATTAGACCGTTGGTTTTCTTGTTTGAATGGTTTTACACTAGTCATTTTTGGGGCCCTGTATAGCTTGCTGTTCGGTGTGAGCCAAGGCTCCGTGTTGAAGGCCGTACTTTGACTTATAATGGTTTTACTTTTACAAATTGTGACTTGGGTGGAGATTTGTCTCATTGGCACTCATCCCACATCTTCTTATATCTATATATTATACGGTAGATACCAGTTTACCCCCTATCAGTGGAGAAGTAGCATTTCATCAGTTTTGAAGGCTGTGGTCTCAAACGGCCAATGATCAAGTTCAAAAGGATAATCATATAATTTAAACACGCTTTTGTGTCCATATCAGTGTTAATAGTGCTGAAAGAATTGGTTTTTGATTGCCAATGCTCGGTAGTCTCTGTTACAAATGTATTCACAAATTATCTTGACCCAGTTCGTTATTGTGTAGACGTTTGTCTATGGTAGAAATACTTTGTTGACCTTTAAATGTTTGGTTTCATTTTGTTTTTATTTCCTTGACCTCTATATTACACCACCTTACATTCATGTACAGTATAGATGCTGTAATTGTTAATTTAAAATCTTCAGTTGACAGTATAGAAATTATTTCGATAATGTAGACAAACACATTTAACCTGGATCGTTTCCATTATAGAATAATAAGTATCATACATTTTCAAGACAGAGGAAAATATTTGATAAAGGAAAAAGGTATTACACACGTGTTCCACACTGTCACATCTATTTTTTGTTCAGCGTATTGTAAATATCAGAATGAACAAGATTTCCACAAACAAAAATGAAATTAGAAATTGGAATGTAAAAGAAAAAAAACGGATTCAAAAGCAATAAAAAACCAAAGATACAAATAAACAATGACAAATACATATACTTTGATATGAAGAACAACAGGAAAGCGCTGTTCTTTTGTTTCAGTGTTTCAAGAGCGTATAGGAATTTATACACCATTACGCTTGTTTCTTAGTATACTTCAGGTAATCGTATGTACCAAGGAAATAAAAAAACAAATGTAAATGTCACAATGATGAAGCAGGACACTACCACTTCAAATGTTTTTGATAAAATGAATTTAAGTAACAGTTGGTAGATAAACAATGGGTTAAAAGTTTCAAGTTTGATTGACACTCAGTTCAAATTTCAACCAGATTTATCAAAATATAAAATAAAACTAAGATATAGAAATGATATAAGAATATTTACTTACTTCCACTGACTTTTCCTATATCAATCAAAAGTTAAACAATTATGATTTAAAATGATGTACTTCATCGATTGTTTAAATGGGTAAATCCACGAAATATGAATCAATCCGGAAAGATTTTGATGGATACATCCTGTGTTTATTATATCAGCATCGACTGATAAACAAGTATCCCATCGGTGTTAATTTTATTTCTTCGATTTGTATCTAAATTGACTAACATAATATTCTTTACATCCCTGAATTTGAATGAATTTTTAATGTAGGCAATAATTAAATGTAGTAAGCGATACTATTTTGTAGACTGCTTTTACGCCCAATGGTCCTTTAGTCATTTAACGCCTTTAAATAGCTAAATATAATACAAAACAAATAAAGTAAAAATATAAATTTTGATTTTATCACCACAATAAATACAAATATTATTTTTTTTACTTCATTAAACTGACATAATAGAGACTAATTTCGTCTCAGATTTAAAATAATTTAAATCAAACCCATTAACTGGTCAGTGCAAGAACATGATAATAATTAGACTTGAAAATTATGACGTTTTATCAGATTTAAATGTAGATGTATGGTATCTTGATATAAAAGATTTAATTGAATATTTGTCTGCAGGCAAACGTTATTAAAGTTAAAACCTGCGATGACTTCATATAGAAAACTAAACAACATAAAGATTTCTTATAGTTTTGTGATAATGTAATTCAATGTGTTGTGTTTGTAGCATGTACGTTATGGCTAGACACGGATAGTGTTAAAACGGTGAAAATGTTGAATTATGTAACAAAAATACTTTTATCAGTGAATTATGTAAAAATTACTTTTATCAGTGAATTATGTAAAAAATACTTTTATCAGTGAATTATGTAAAAACAAACTTTTATCAGTGAATTATGTAAAAAATACTTTTATCAGTGAATTATGTAAAAAATACTTTTATCAGTGTAGTTTGCCTAGAATAGATGCGATGTAGTAATCATTGAACATCTCTGCAAAATTATAAAAACAAGAATGTGTCCATATAAAACGGATGCCCCACTCGCACTATCATTTTCTATGTTCAGTGGACCGTTAAAATTGGGATCAAAGATCATATCATAGGGAACATGTGTACTAAGTCTCAAGTTGATTGGACTTCAACTTCATTAACAACTACCTTGACCAAAAACTTTAACCTGAAGCGGGGAGACGGACGGACGGACGGACGAACGGATGAACGAACGGACGCACAGACCAAAAAACATAATGCCCCTAGGTGGGGCATAAAAATGTATGAACTTAAATTGAATTTCTTCACATATTTTATTAATTTTTTATTTTTAAATGTTCTTATGTTTATTTTTTTGTCATCAATATTGTATTATTGCATATTACACTGGATACCTGATAATGCCGAACACTCTCATAAGATAAAGAAAGCAATTACATATACTCCCATCTCTCAGACAATGATTATCCCGTCTAATTGACTCTTTCCTGGAACTTTTCTGCCAAAATCCTGTTAACATCGAATTTAACCCATTGCTCGACGAAACGATCTGAACAATATGCAGAAGATCGTACACATTTCAAAATTCATAAGGTAAATTTCCTCTCAATATATTTTACACCAGGGTTATTTTCAAATAGTCTTACTATCTTAAAACTAAAATGCAGAGTTCCAAAGGTTTAAGATTATGTGTAATACGTAAAGGTTTTAACAACATGTCAATACTATTCAACCAATTTGTTATTGCTTCAAGATAGCTCAGCACCACAATTTTTTATAGATTTTGAGTATTGATGTTGAAATTTTCAAATTCAATAGAAGGGCCAGAGTCAAAAATCGCCATGGAAATGAGATAAGCAAATGCTGATGTAACTATATACTGAATATCATTGACTTACCAACAGTGGTTCAATTTAAACTGATCTCATTGCAAACTTCAACAAAAGAAACCCGACGCCGATAACAGCACGTCTAATTCTCGCCTCCACCACTTCGTCTCGGCAAAAAAATAATTAGGAAATATACGCTATATCTAACTCCATTGCAGCAAAGCTATGTATTGGATTTCAACGATTAACGAATTCATTTGGTTCTGAAATGTCTTCGATGTAAAAGTAAACAAAATTGAATGGCAGTAAAATGTTAAAATATAATTTCAGTATATTATTTGGATAATTAACTTTCACTAGGTTTCATCAACTTTCCGATTTAAACTTGTAATACTTGAGAAGTCACGACTTTTCGATAAATGAAAGGCGATTCCAAAAAAAAAACACCAGATAAATCTTTTTAAACTATGCACTTTAACTACTTACGTGTAAAATGTTTATGTATATTTCAATTTACAATAACGTACTGTATGATTTAAGAGTACATATATAAACAATAAATAAAGTATGATACGAGTACAATCAAGAATTGATAAAAATTCGATTATAATAGTTTCTCTGTATAACGATATGGTTCATTAAATTAGAAACCTAAATACGAACATGCATATTATACATCTCACATGGACATTTTTTAATCTGATGTAAATATATCCAGTTTTATTGGCACAGTTGACATGCTTTTTGATTTCTACCTTTGAACTCTAACATTTTTCATGTGACGACATTTGCACTGTCACTCCTGTAATCAGAAAAAAAGATCAACTAAATAGTTTTATTTCTTTTTCTGCATTTTGTTTATTTATTATTTCGACTTTTTCATTGTTATCGCTCTGAAATTTTAAATATTCATGTTTAAATAAAGTCATTTTGATCATCATCATCATCAGCAGCAGCAGCATCATACTTAATTTGGGTTTTTCAAGAAAACGCGTGGCTCGAGCTGAAAGAGATATTAGTATCATAGTAGTATGATAGTTAAGATTGAACACTTTTGAATGCAAAAGTCTCCAAATAGTAGAATTCACTGAAATCCTGTGACGCCGTCGAACATATTCATACTGACGCTGCACATGATATTGTTACCAGTGGGCGTCATTACACGACGTTCCCAATAAGTTGCCTAGTTTCAGAACAATCTATGCCATTATGTCAATATAAGCTTGATGCTGTATTAATGTATATGGCGGCGTAAGATATGTGAACTTGCTAATTAAATGTTCTTTAATACTCTCAGCTTTTCCCATCTCACGATATAAAAACACCTTTATACATTTGGATTCAGTGACGTTAATTTTGAAAGCCTATTATACTCAATTGAAGACAAAATGACCATATTTTATCAAGCTGACCGAGCAACGCAGTGGTGTAAATAAAATGATCTATAGAAAAATAGAATGTGTACCATCACCCTTCGCAACATGACTCGGATTTTAGAAAATATTTTAATGTAGTAAACAGGGGCGTATCAAGGATTTTGCCTGCCAGGGGCCTAGAGGCGGAGGTGGTGAAAGATGTACAAGGGGTCTAAGGATCACCTATAACAGCTGTATGTCCAGGGCAGAGCTCTGTTAGTGACCTACTGGCGAAGCCCCGCTCTGGAAGCTCTTGACAGGATCTACATATTGTTACTCTCATTCTCTCTCTCTTCATACTTGCAAACCATGATTTGACAGTTTAAGGGGTGCACTCCCGCCACGTCCCGCACAAATCCGCCCTTTTTAAACGTTAATGTCAGCAAAATTCTGAATTGTGTCTGCTTTTATGAAATAATCAAATCATGAAAATTTTCCTAACAGTTGCATTTCCATTTGAAATATAATACCGCTTTCACACTATAAAATAGTGACACACGTGTTAAAAAATAACCAACTTATGATTTTTTCCTCTCAACAAAAGAGACACCTTAGCATCGAAATGATTACTGTAACCTGCCCGCTGGAGTTGTTTATTTTTCTTTGCATGACAGCTGCATTTTTTTTAAAGTGACTTACTTATATATACCCCTGAGCGGTTCGGGGGAAACCTGCTTTATTACACCCATCTTCAATTCCCTCCCGTGTTTGCAAATACTTGTACATTAATATTCCGTGTGGAGGAGTAAAGCTCATCCTGTATCTTGCTCTCTCCAAATATGTAAAAAGTAACTCACTAGTTGCATATAAAAATTTGTTGCTGTGTAACATTGCCATAATTTCTGTTATATTGAAAGAAAGATGGAATGCGCAGATATATAATCTCCAAGCCATTATGCATCATTTATAACACAAATAAATCCATGAAAAACGCTTGATTCTGGCTCAGTTATAATGATAGAAGACAAAAACGGCGTATTCATACGTCACTGCTGGTGGAGGTTTCGTCCAGCCCAGTAGTCAGCACTTCTGTTTTGACACGAATCATCATTGATACTGTGTTGACACGAATCGTCATTGATACTGTGTTTACACGAATCATCATTGATACTGTGTTGACACGAATCATCATCATTATATATAAATTAACTGTTTTACAAAACTTTGAATCTTTCGAAATGTTAAGGATTTTCTACCAAATGAATAGATTACATTAACTGTATTTGGCTAAACCTCTCGGAAGTGTGGATCCTCAGTGCTCTTTAACTTTATTTGGTCTTTTTAACTTATTTATTCGAGCGTCACTGATGAGTCTTTTGTAGACATAACGCGCGTCTGGCGCCCGTCTGGCGTACACACCATTTAAAGCCTGGTATCTATGATGAGTTTATATGCATTGTCCACTAAGTTATCTGTGACTGAAAAATTGCCAAATGCAAGTGGAGTCTTTCTAAAGTATGCATACCTTCTCCGAATACGCCAAACACGAACCAGCGTTGCCAGTAAGATGATCACCAGGACAGAAAGTATAGCGATAACCACAATTATGCCTGCTGACAATGAACTGGAAACAGTTGTAGTCGAAATGCTAACTGAAAAAATCGAACACGTAGTATGCAATCATACATATAATAATGTTGAAGCATGTTCTACTGATATATTAGACAGTCTTGTAATATATACAAATGAGCAAAAACCACGTAATACTATGCTGTCACTCAGTTATTTAGCTATGAAGTAGAAGAAATAAAAAGGCGTATGCTTGAAATCTGTTTACCCTGAATAACTAGTAAAATATTAATCATTGACTAAAATGCATGATCAAGTACATGTTACATCACGGAAGTACTCTATCGACAATGTTTCTATATTTATTCATATTGTAACGCAAAAAGCTCTGTTACCCCTCCGAATTAAAATTTTGATGTAATCACCTTCACAAAATATTCCTTCCCAACCAGTCATACATCCATGCAAGCAGAACCCAGTATTGAAGTCGCATAAACCAGATTCACATGTACTGTTACATTTCTGTTTACAAAGGTTAC